GTCGATTGGTGCAAGGAAATGTTGGAAAAATACGTTCAAGGTACATCAAAGGCTGTGTATAACATCTACACAGGTGACGAATCATGGATTTATGCATATGAGCCGGAAACAAAACAGCAATCAACTGTATGGGTCTTCCAAGACGAGGTAAAACCAAGAAAAGTTGTTCGAGGAAGAAGCACATCAAAACAAATGATTGCCTATTTCTTCGGCATTAACAGTCATGTGGCAACAGTGGCATTAGAGCAACGCAGGACGGTCAATTCTGAATGGTATGCGACCATTTGTTTGCCAGAAGTCATCGGAGAAATTCGAAAAAAGCAGAAGAACAGGTGAATCATTCTTCATCATGACAATGCGAGCTCTCCCACATCGACTCAAACAAAGGCATTTCTGACGGAGCGAAAGATCGAACTGATGGGTCATCCGCCGTACAGCCCTGATTTGGCACCCAATGACTTCTTCTTATTCCCTCACATCAAAAATAAATTACGTGGACAACGAATTTTGACCCTCGAAGAAGCGGTTGATGCATTCAAAACGCATGTTTTGGAGTTTCCTCAATCGGACTGGAAAAAGTGCTTTGAAAATTGGTTCAAACGCATGCAAAAGTGTATTGATCATCATGGAGAATATTTTGAAAAACAATAAAACCAATTTCGATCCTACATATTTGTTTCTTCATTATTAGGCCAGGAATATAAATAGCAACCCTCGTACTAATGAGAATATCTTACGTCAGCAATGTGGGCAGCTGAATTTGAATCGACAGCCATAGCTGAGGTTGGAACTTGGATGGCCTTATCAGAAGGGGAGCACACCATTCCCTGCTACCCTGCTGCTCAGATTGATGGATTAAAAATGAAAAAAAAAACATAAAGGAATAAGTTTTCTTAGAATGTAAGCTATCTTATGTTATAACTGAGTTAATATTGTGGTATATCAATTGCAGTTAAAAGAATAGGACGTAAAAACTAATTGAACGAATTCTTTAACCTCTGCAGGATATAAAAAAAAACTCACTTGATAAGGAATGTGAAATTTCTGAATAAGATCCATGTCTAAGAACATCCGTATCGCTGCTTGGCACGTGTCTTCGTCACTTAAATTAAAATCACTGAAGTCAAAATTGTACAGCTTAAATTTCTCCCCACTCGGTATCTGCGTTTGCTAAAAAGAAAAGATATATGTAGAATTACGCATGATTATTATCTTTCAGTTAAGTTAAATATGAAATAATTTTTGAAAATAAATATTGGCCGTTATTAAATGGCAATAAGTTTTTTTTTTAAAAAACTGCAAGAAAAAAATATAAAAGAGGTTTACGAAATAAAACGTTTTAGAAGGAAGAAGATATATAGAAAAAATAATTATTTAAAAAAAATGAGTAACGCGTCTAAAAATTCTGATTTTTTAAAAAAATTTTTAATAAGTTCTTTTAAATTAAGTGAGAGTTAGTATAAAAGAGTTTTAATATATTAGCTCTTAATTGTTTGAAAATAGTTTGGAGTTTTATAAAATAATGTGGGGTTTTTCGATTTTGATTCAATTTTTTTATGAGACTGCAGTTAGCAAAATAAAATTAAATAATAGAAATAAGTGCTAAATCAAATTAAATAATAGAAATAAGGGATAAATCAAATTGAATAAGCAAATGGTAGAAAAAATAATTGAAAACAGCATCACAATTTTTCGAAATGAATGAAAAACACATTACAATAATTATGAATATTCACCATAAGTTATGGAAACATGTTGTAATAAACCAATATTGAAAGCATTTCTTTAAATAATTTTTCTTCAGTCCATACATTTATTCTATACCGCGCAATCTGGTAAAAATGTTTTGAACTAAAATAACAAACTTTGCGGGGGGGGGATATTACTTCATTTTCATTAAAAGCTTCTGAAAACCGCCAAACTAACTTAAGGCAATTGCGCACTATTTTATATTTTCAATTCAACATTTTTAGTTCAAATTTCAAATCTCCTGAAAAAAAATATAGGTAATGTCATAATCTGTATTAAACTAAAATGTTTATCTCGAATTTCTTAAAAACACAGTCTAGGAGAGTTTGATCTTCAACGCTATGGACTATTTTGACGACAAACAAAAAATTCGCATAGAATTAAAAATCTGATCATTGAAGCCAGCGAAAAATTTGCCAATCAGTTTCTCATTCGCAATCAAATTTTTCACATGAGCGAGAATGACCCTGAATCCTATTACCAACATAGTAATTAAAAATGAATCAATTTCGGCTTTTTCATATTATAACTAAATATAGTAGTTAAACTATTTATTATTTATCTCCTTACCATCAACCTTCTTGTTTCTTCTAATGATGATGAAGCATGATATGATAATACTTCTAAAGCTACTTTTTGTTTCGCCATAAGCTTGTTGGCGTTTTCATACATCTGTGTATTATAAATGCCTAGCCCACAAAATATTGAAAATGCCTAAAATAGAAAAGAGCTTATATTATTCACATAAAAATAAATATTTATTTATCTTTTAGGGGATATTTGTAAGACATCAAGTGATCATAAGTTTTATGCAAACACTTAAATCAGGGGTGTCAAACTCGCGGGCCGCATGTGGCCCAGTCAATATATTCAACGCAAAGTAAAAATAAAATAGAAATGTGAATTAGAAAGGAAACTAGCATATAAAATTATAAAATACTTTATTTATAAACTATACGGATCATTTTAAATTGTACGCGCGAAAATGTAAAATTCTAATTGGCCTGTGGCACCTGCCATTCCAGTGATACTGCATCTTATCAAAAATACGCAGAAAGAATTGCAAATCCTAGAACAGAATTTGAAACAAGGTTTAAAGATTTTAATTCCTTGGAAAACAACTTTTGTTTGCTTTCTTCGATTTTCTCAATAAATATAGACTCAGTACCCAGTAATATGCAAATGGAAGTCATTGAGATTCAGTGCGACTCAAATTTGAAGACAAAATTCATTTAAGGGGGTGTGTCTGAATTTTACAAATATTTACCGGTAAGGTTTGAAAATACTCGAAAATTCGTATATGAAATTATTTCCATGTTTGGAAGTACTTATCAGTGCGAGCCATTTTTTTCTGTTATGAGTGAAAATAAATGTCCTGTCCGAAACCATATTAATAGGTCTCGTTGGGTCAATTTTGAAAGTAGTCTCGGCTAATAAAATTTCTCCCGAAGTAGGAAAGATAGTAGCAGAGAAGCGATGTCAAATATCAAACAATAAATTTACTTTATATATGCTTATTACAATGTACTATTCAAAATAAAAGTATTTGCTTCTGTAAACACTGATTTTTTTTAACTTTTTTTTTGAGGCCCACCTAAAGTTAAGCATTGTTTATTTGGCCCAAGTTTGCTTTTGAGTTTGACACCCCTGACTTTAATTATTTATGTTAATTCAATTGAACAGACCTATTAAATTAAAACAGAAATCTCCTTCAAACTTCAAAATGTTATTATAAGATATATATTATGACATAAATATTAAATAAAAGTTATATGCTATATTTCAATACTAAATTATAAAAGTACCGAAAAAGAAAAAATGTGACGAAAACACCAACACTAGACATTAACACAGGAAGGAAGTATTTTCCTGAGACATTTGAGTGATAGTGCAGTTACATATTTACCTCTAATGTATTAATATCACATTCTGTAAAATCCTTTCCTTTGCATTTGTTTACTAGCTGTGCAACTCCAATAACTTTATTTTCACTGTTAAATATTGGAATAGATAATATTCGCCCTCTTAACTTCTCCTTTGGGAACTGCAAACAGAAGACATAAAAGTTTATTTAGTTTATGCCGGTTTACGTCATAAAGCAATAAAAACAAAAAGAAGGTTATTTGATGCCCTAAAATTTAAGAATATTTTAACCCAAATTCTCATAGCCGTATACAAAAAAAAAACTGATATTTTAATAATTTTCTTATTTTATTTTGGAATCAAAAGCCAAACTCAACAATTTTCGTAAATCAGTCAGTCTAATTCCGGTGCGCTTAGAAATGATTTTAGTAGGTGGAAAAGTGGCGGGAAAATAATTGTAATAAATAAAAATAAATAAAAAAAATAAACTGAAAGATTGTTTGAAAAACACTTTCAAATATCAGGAAAAAAGCACTGTTATTAAGTTTGTGTCATTAATTATTGAAGCTTTATAAAACCATCGTGGATGATTCGATAAGACTTGTTAAAAATGAATTATAATTACTCTGAAAATTTCGTCTTGGTCGGTTATCAGTTAAAACTTTTGAGTTTAAATCTTTAACGCACGGCAGTAAACAAAAAGTGATCATATAGCTTAATCCTATATATTTTTAAAGAAGTAAATATAATGTTAAATTAATTTAAACGGTCTATTTGCGAAGTTATATATTGCTAAAATTACATATCATATTGGCACTCTTGGTAGTTTTATATCTGTTACTATATTACACAATACAATAAAACCTCAAAAATTACATCGCAGATAGTTACAAAAAATAATATTATTTTGTATAATATAGAATAAAAATATGTAAACAAAATAGAGAATTTTTAAAAACTTTGCCTTGTCATTTTATTAAACACTAGTAGGTTTTCTTTAGTCATTTTAACAATAAAATATCTAGGCATTGTATGAAATACTATTCGTTTCACACATTAGTCTACTTATAAAACAATTCTTGACAATACGTGGAATGCTGAAAGTTTCATACTTTGCCAGTCGCTTTTAGGTGTTCGATACAATGACAAAAATAGAATCTCTATAGAATACTGGATTTCATATATTTACAAAAAATACAAACTTAGAGAAACTAATTTAATCGTTTTGGCGATATTGCTAACGTGACAAATTACGCAATGTACATTTAAAAATGACGTATAATTTGGAGAAGCACAAATGAAAATGTGATGGCAAAAATTTAGAATTATTAAAACAGCGATACACATGATAAGGATTTTATACTTTTTTGTCAGCAATACACATAATTTTGTACAAATTATATTCGTAAGAGGAATGTAATTCGATAAGTAGCTATACTTACATCAAATGGAATAGCAGATATATTTGTGCTTCGTAGATTTAGAACTTCGTCTTCGGTACCAGACCAATTAAACGTCTGAAACAATAAAAAAAGAACATAATTTAGTTTTAAATAAAATTTAGTCCATTCATTCAGTGAATTGTTTATATTTCTGTAGGTTACAAGCATTCATATTAAAAAAAGTTTAAAAAAACTAGATTTAGGATTTGTAATTCCTTTACACAATTTAACTCTGTATCAGAAAAACCTAGAACTGCATACACGGTAAAAAATTCTGAAAATTTTAGAGGTTAAGTACAGTAAATTGTAGTCTCTACAATATTAATCTTTAGCAGTACATTTTACGGCTAACGTGCATGTCCACGTGCTATGTTAAGCAGGTTTTTTGAAATGAATTCCTAGTCATGGCAAAGTAGTTCTTAACAGTTTTCTCTATCATAAAGTTTTACATTAATGAATGAAATTTACAGTGAAAGGAACTGGCATGTAAGATTTTAAGAAGCTATTTTTTTTATAAAACACTTTGAAAAAAATTTTTAATAGCAAGTTAAAACAATTTCTGTGACGATTTTAAAAGCTATGTATGCGTGCTTATTTGAATTTACAATTAGTAAGATAAGATTTAGATCAACTAAGACTTTGAGATCTTTTTACCACTAGAGTTATAATTGTTAACATAATAAAACTTTTAATGATGTTTTTCTTAAATGCTTTTTAAACGGAGGCTTTAAACTTTTTATTTCTTCTGCTTCTAATTGGGAGAAACTGATAAAACGACTATGGCTTGTGAAAAACTGTAAGCGATTTCATGAAATTAAAATAAAATATTTAAGATTGCATAATTTGCCTTTAAAAAATCATAAATATCTATTTTTCACGTTTTTTCCCAATTGAATCATCGATGTTATTGTTCTACAATTTAGGTATTTAAAATAAGTTCAGTGTTTCGATACATCATGTTATTGCGTTTACATTTGGGTTAATGTAATGTAGCCGTAAATATCGCTCACCTATTGAAATTCCATATGCTACAGGGGAAATTTAGATAGTAATTCATAAAATGTAGCATTTATGTAGCTTATTAGATAAAAAATATCTAACATTTAGTATCCATCATCATATTTGGCCAGGCAGCCCAATGTGGGCCAATGCCATCCTCTGAAGATTTCTCCATAATGACTTATGATTCATCTTTGATCTCCAATTCTTTTCATTAATTGCAAGAAAATCAGACTCCACCGAGTCAGCCCATCTCAACCGCGGTCTTGTTAAAGTGGGTCAAAAAAAGCAGTTTCATTGTATTGTCCATCACTCATTCGAATCAAGTGGGCCATATAATTCAGTCTATTTATTTTTATGCACTTAATAATATTGGGTTGTTTATAAATCTTGTACAATTCAAAGTTAAATCTCCAGTTTTTGTTCTCATTTACACCACCAAGCATAGCTACACCGCAAAATCTTTCTCTCAAATATAATGATACAATTTTCCTCCAATTTTCTCATTGTCCAAGCTTCAAAACTTAACCATGTAACTTAAATAATAATTCATAAAGTTTAAAATCCTTATAATGTAACATTCATGAATTATTAACAACATATAACCTTATAATTAACAACAATAAAATTATGATAATAATTCATAAAATTTGGTATTCATAAAAGTTAGTTAACAAACTTTATCTCAATTAAATGAATTAAAACTGAAACTTACTTGTTCTGTAGCTACAACGTGGCGTGCAAAATGAACATGAGCCATCTCAGAACCAGATAAATCTTTTAAGCTACAAAAATATTTTTCTATTTAAACAAAAATGTAAAATTAAAATTTATATCAAAATACATAATTTAAGTATGTATAAAAATATATATTTAAAACTTACGCTGAATACACAAGTAATTATGAAAGTTTTCAGTTGCATAGATAAACGGGTATTGATTAAAACTATCGCATTTAATTAGTATTATTTGAAAAACTACTACAGACATTTTTAAATTAGTTTTAATTCAAATACTGGATCGAAAAAAATAATGGATAGTTTTATAAATCCTATTCTAAATACATAAACATTGAACAAAAATTGTAATTTTTACGTAAGTTGTGTTTTTAAAATATAAATTAAATCTCTTACCTAGGCCTTCGAATTTCTTGTTCATCTCTCCTGAGTTCAAATATAGTGGTAAAAATCACGTCCTAAAAAGTACTAAAACTTCAATAATTGTCACACAAAGCTACATTTAATAAACAGTGATATTTTTCTTGCTTATATGCGTATATGTTTATAATTAACACTCAGTTTGTTTATTCACTAAACTAATTTTTTTCATGTCAATATTTATTTCTACTATTTTCACATGTAAATAGTTAATAAGTTTTTCTTTTCATAATCATATTCATAGTTCAATAAAAACTAAAAGAATTTTATTTATAGTTATAACTAAAGTGTTAAAATACATAACTATAATGAAATAAATTAATAGTATTTAGTAAACGTAAAATTAATAGTCAATTTTTTTAATATTTCAGATATTCATAATCAAAATATTGCGCATCCAAAATTACAATCAATATATTTTATTTTATGGCAGTCATTGAACTGCCCACCCAGTTTATTTTTTATGACTACTAATGTTCAACATCGTAGTCTTGTAATTCTGAACCCAATCCAGAAGACAAGGAAACTCCTGGATAAAGTATTGGGAGAAATTTGCTTTCTTCGAGGACTTTTTGATGGAAGTAACCAGCATCTGTGCTACATGGAGAGGAAAACCACGAGGACCTCCCACAGTTTTCCTGACGGCAAGGAGACTATAACCCATGATCCGTCTACCACAGAGGATTTTTAAAAATATATTTTTAACATTGTATAAAAAATTCTCTGTGTAAAGAAAATATTATTATTGCGCAGGAGATTTCTACTGGGTTGGCATCTAAGTTCCCACCAGTTTTTTTATTCCTTTTCATAATCATACTTTTTCTCCTCATCTTCATTTCGTTTATGATCATCTTCTTCATCCCTAATCTTCATCTTCATTTTTTCTTTCTTTTTTCTTCTAAGCATGATTCGTCTTCATCGAACTCAACTGGACGATAAAATGAGGTCCGTATTTGAGGTTAAAATTTCCATTATTAAACATGGCATAAAAGTACTAGCCATCATTTTAGTTATGGCACCCTGTCCCTACACAGCACATATATCACGAGCAGTTTTTATGGTTTTGGAACTTTGATTAGAAGCAAAAACAGATTAGAATAATATTTAAATATTAGAATAATATTAATATATTAGAATATATAACCAAATAAAATTTTAGTATACTCCTTTTTAGCAGATATTCAAAACCAAAATGTTATTCATCAAAAAAAAAAAAAAAAAATACATGCTATATTTTTTCAAGTTTCTATCAAAAAAAATTCTTTAAGTTAAAATTTTGTATTTTTGAAAGCTTCAATATAAAAATGCTATAAATTAAACAGCGCAATTTTTGACGAATACAAAACAAAGAGTTCAATAAAAATGAAAATAATACTTATTTTTTTAACTCTAATAAATAAAATTAATCTTGTTACACTGAACACTGAAGTTCAATGGATGAAATAATGAATAAAAACATTACGAAACTATTTTATGAGAAAAACTACTTAAGAAATCAAAGGCCATATTTGCTTGCGATAATCAATCATGATGAAATGTGAGTAATTTTTACGGAGAAAATAGGAGCCGAAAAACAGAAACGAAATAAATGACGAAGTAGTATGACGATGCAATAAAGTACAAACCTGAGGTTTTGAAAATTTTTTAGGGTTGAAAATGGGAGGCAAGTTGCTAACTTTATCTTCACCATCAAATCGTGGAAAAATCTAAAAAAATAAAGTAGTATTTATTGTTTTTTTTAAAGTACAATACCAATAACGACAAAAAATCTACAGTATTATAATAATATTTATTACAGTTAATGCAGAATAATTTATTTAAATAGGCTGAAAATAAGTATTTTAAATTACTTTTCTATATATGATGCATAATAGCATTAAAATAAGTCCTTAATTATAAAGAAATATACCAACTATAATATTCTTAAATTTAAAAGCAAGGAAATGTACAGCTGCATTATTTCAAGGAAATACTTTTATAACATTTAATATTTTTTCCCTACTTTTGCCCCATTCTGTTTACTAAGGGGGGAAATGTTTATAAAGAGAATCCTTAAAAAATTAAGTTCAAATACTGTACTACAGGAAAAAGTTGCCCTCATTAGTCAAAAATACCTAACTAAAATATTTAATTGAAAATTAAAGAAATTTTTTTGTCATCTTCCTACTTTTAAAAAGGTCATAAAAATGGACATACGATTACCAATCAATCCATTTTTGGTTTACATCTATCAATGTTTAATTCGGTAGCGTTGGAGTTCTGAAATCAACCCACATAATTCCTGGATGAAGGAATTCCAGGTGATGGGAATTCCTGGATTAAGCCTTCGCGGAGAAAATGGAGAGGAAGACCATGGAAACTTCTCATGGTTAGCTTGATGTCTATGTGATTATAAGCCACTGGAGATATTTCATAACAGCACTGTGGTCAGTGTCAGCAGAAAGCACAATTCTATTATACCAGCTATCGCTGGGATTTGAACCCGGGTCACCTAATTGGAAGGTTAGCGCTACATTTCCTGAGCCAACACGGTAACTAATTATTTAATTTTACAACAGTCGTTGAGCTGTCGTCGGAGAAAATTGCCTTCGTGGAGGACATTTTGATGGAAATAACCAGCATTAGCGTTACATGGAGAGGAAAACCACGGAAACTTCCCTCGGTTAGCCTGAAGGCAAAGGGACTCTAACCCATGATCCGTCTAGCACTGAGGATATTTTACGTCAGCACTTTGGTCGGCGCGAACAAGGTGCGGAAATCGTATCGACCAGCTATCGCTGGGATTCGATCCCGGCTCACCTCATTGGAAGGCAAACGCTCTTTCCCCTAAGCTACCACGGCTCAGCAGACATGGCTTGACTAAATAGGTTTTCAAAAACTACTCTTGTCTTTCCAGTACCCAATTTAAACACCATAGAATACCTTTAAGTCGAATAATATCACAAAATACGCATCCAGGATAATTTGATCATTTTCATTATGCTAATTCGCATCGACCAGCCATCGTTTGGATTCGAACCCTGTTAACCACATTGGAAGGCAAATGCTCTATATTCTGAGCCACCATGGCTCCCTATTTATTTAATTGACCAAATTTGAAAAAAATATGAATAAATTATTATTTTTTTACCTGATCATCGTGTTCAGTATCTACTAGATATACTCGGCATTTCTCGCACTGCAAGAGTTCTTCTGCTTTAACCATGATCTTGTTGATGAGTCTATCCAAAGACGAAGTTTCTTCAAAAATAGATTTTGCGAGGCTCAAAAGAAGCTGAAAAAATTATTTAGTTTAGTAAAGCAATATATATAAAAGAAATATGTATTTTTGTAAAAAGTTTTCTAAGTCAATCTGCAAGAAAATATTTATCTTAACTCAAAAAATTTATGTGCATTAAAAAAAAAAGATTTGAGAATCATCTGGATCTATTTTACTTTCCTTGCTAGAATGCCAAAAAATGGCAAGTACATTTCTTCACTAGTTAACATTTTAGAAATAATTCAGCCGCCAACATTCACACGTGCTTCTCTGTTTGGTGCTGAGTAAAATTATGTTATCCCAACGGCATTTTTGCATACGCAATACTTCATGAATAATAATCCAACTCCAGCATCAAGTTTTTTTCTGTGCGATTTGGATGGTACATCATTTATCATCGATTTATATTTTTCGTACGGCAAACACATTAACCGAGATAACAGCTTACAACAACTTCTCTGAGTGTTCAAGAGAATAACGACCTGTGTTGAATTGTATAAACAAACCATCTGATGCAATAATGCTATAACATTAGTTAGAGCTTCTGTTCCAAAAGCTAGCACGATAGTGTTTTTGCGTCAACTCTATTTTACACTCTGTCTAAAATCTATCACACACTTAACTTCTCGTTATTGGGTGTTTGCATTTCTAGAAGGATACCCCTGAAATCCAATGGCTTTGCCTGATCAAGTAGTTGTGCATAGCGAATTAACGTTACAGCTATTATGTTTCGTTTATTATCACGCTTTATCAGTTTTCGGAGCAGATTTAATTAGATATTTGCAAGAGACGTCACGCATGTGTGGAACCTGATTGGATGCTGAATCGTGACATAAACAAGTTTCACGATTTATCTACACGTGACGTTGCTTGCAAGTATCCAATAGGTCACCAAAAATTCACCTGGTAGGCTGAAATATACATATTTTAAACCAAAAAAAAAATTTTCTGTAATTTATCGGTTCTGCGTTTCCCGACTATTTTAGAGCATATGATGTATTTTATTTTGTTAACAAAAAACGAAACAAGTTTTTCTGTTGGCTAAAATTTAGAAAGGAAACTTCATTCTGTCTAAAATTTATTCCACATTCAATTATCTACAATTGTCGAGGGAAAAAAATAAAGGGCTAAAATAGTTCATATTCTCAAATATAACAGTTAATTTTTACTTACCATGCCATTTGTCGTCTGCGTGTTTTCAAAAAATGTCAGAAGAATTTCAAAATATTCTTATAGTGAAAAGAAATCATTAAACTTCTTAGTGTGATAAAATTTAAAAAAAGCAAATTCTATTCCGTTTAAGCTGCACAGAAACTGTCTCACAATAGCGTTTTCTAAAATACTAGACAACCTCAACTAACTTCGATTTTTCAGTCTCAATTAGTCGCATTATATCCGATATTTATCACTGTCAATAACTATCACGATATCATTGTTTTTATTAGCATACATACATTCGAAGATTATCAGAAATAGTTTCATAAAAGTATCATAATGTTAAAACATAAAAAATATCAATATTTTACGATACATGAATATCACCCACATGCTGGCAAATAATGTTTTTATTTACGATGGAACCAATAAAAATGATACGAACAACAAACTTTTTTCAACGAATCTCAATAATGCTAGTATTTTTGATTAATATTTCGATTATTATTCCAACGTTTCGCATTTTTACACATTTAATTATCAGTTTGGATCATAAGTTTCAAATGTTAAAGCTATGTTTTCATCGGAAAAAAAAAGTTTCACATTAACAAAACCCATCACCATTTATTACCATGTTCAAGTAAAATTCAATGATATTAAAAGAATAGAAAGATAAACTGCAAAAAGAATTAAAAAAATGTCAGACATGATTAATCCATTAGTTTTTCAAGTTCAGAAAGGAAAAATTATTAAATAAATAAATATCCGTAGTTCTTAAATTAGTAAAATTTTAATAAAAAATTAAGCATGTTTATCACAATTTTATTATAATAGCTTTCATTGCCGAGCAGATGTCGCTTTTAAAACACTAGAAGACTCAGAGCCTTCAGTACGGTATATAATTTTTTCACATTTTTTTTATCAATTCATCTACAATTTCAAATTTCTAAGATTTATAGTTTATACAGAAAGGCAAAATTTAACATTAAGTTGAACATCCGAAACAGCCACGGTTGTCTTTATCATTTTTTAAAATAGATAGAAGCAATAAAAGTTTGGCAGTTTTCTTATTGAGATTAATATGATTCCTAATTATAATTCCTTATGATTATTATTATCTTCATTATCATTATTATTATCATCATGATTATGATTTAAATTTGGAATTACTAATTATCCTTAAGTTTCGTGATCTTCGAAAGGTTACCTAAAACTGTTAATTATTCTTTTTTCTAAATTTATAATGTTTTTTAAGATTTTTTTAAAACTCAAATCATAGAAAAAAGTGAGCATATCTAAGCCAAGAGTAAACCATGGAGCTTTAAATGCTGAAAAAACTAGTTTTGCAATATTTAAAGGCAAAACATCATGGCAGAATTACTCCCACACAGCGTAATCCTCAGTGGGGAAAAAAACACAAATGATACCCGAAAAAAAAAACATTTTTAACAATCTGTTTTAATAGAGATTGCTAATTGATTGTGAAAAATGTGTAGAGATCCTATATCTGGCAGTCTCGGCAATGTGGGTATATTTTTCTTTTCCCACGGATCACGGCGGCAGGTTTGGGACGGCTTTCGATTCTTTTTGCGAAAGGCTGGTTCTCCGACCGTGTCATGATTTGGCAACCACTCAAATGTTCATGCAGGATTGTGGGGTTGTAGGGTATGATGAGGAGGCAGGCTGATGATAATCACCGTCTGCCTTACAATCATCATTTTGCAATTTCAATGCGTACTTGCACTAGTGTTATCGTCGAATCATTCTTATTCTAATGCATATTAGTATGGTTTTAAAGTATCGTTAACAACCAAACTAAACTATAAATATAGAGTTTCAAAAAATTTATTCTTATGTATTCTAATTATACTTTTTTTTCGCTTTTAAAAGATACATGAGTGCAATCGCGAATTCAATCATTAAATTAAAAACTCCAACAATAATTAGTTCATTATTTCAATACATCAGGAATTCTTAAAGTTATCTAAATCGATGGTCTCTTTGAACATTATTATTATTATAGTCTATTAATTTACAATCAGTAAAGTGTGAAGTCGTTACAATTAAGAGTTTTGAACTTCTTTTTTGCCAAATATGGGAGCTATCTGTATAAATTAATGATCAATTCTACTAAATTTGCTGAATTACGTTACAATTACGGAAATAGAGCTTTTTTGTTAATTTATTTTGTTAGCTTTTTTGCGGATTTTCGTTAAAATTACGAGTACCTTGCGTTTTACTTTAAGTAGGGAGCTGGCCGAAAGAATTAACAGCTAATTATTCAAATTACATGTTCCAACACCACATAATAGCCATGACGAAGCAAAAAAATTACCTTGTTTCATTTCTTCTACAATATTAATTAATTACAAAATTGTTAAACTTTAATTAATTATTGTTTGATAAATATCGATCATGAAGGATTTTTATTAATCAGTCAGTGAGGTCCCTCAGGGGTTGCGCAATTCGAAGTACTTTATAAACTATAACTGAATATTTATCACTTGATGCTGGAAGATTTTAATTCAGGCGACAGTCGTTCCGTTATACAGCCGGGGTCAAATAGAAGTGGCGCAACTGCCAAATATAGTTGACCAAGCCTGCTTATATAAGAAAAATTAATTGCAATTGTTCTAATTAGGAAAAATTAAAGACATCAAATAATCATTTTGTTCACTGAATTATTCAAGTATCACATTATTTATTCAATTATTCAAAATGTATAGCTCTTGTTATGAAAGCTTAATAACTGTTTTTCTTAAAATATGATTAATATTGTTTTACGAATTCACCTTCTTGATGTTAAGTAAATTAAGGCACGAGGTTTATTATTGAATAAATCAATATCTAAAAGAATCGTTGTAATAGCTTGACCAGGTAATGAAACAAATAGAAATACTAACGGCATAGTTTTAGTATTTTGCAGAATTGCTGATCAAAATGTACCTATATAGCAAATGAAATGTCCCTAACGGCAACGATGAAGAATTTTAAAATTTCCTTTCTTACGTCTTGGGATTCCATAAAAGAAGAATTTCTTCTTAGTTCATGGTTTCCATTTTTCTTTTTTTTTACTTTTCCCATTCCTATGTTTTTTTCAATAATTACCTCAATTAAAATATTAAAAAAAAATTATTGATGAAAACAAATTATGTACAGCTTTCTGATTACGCACATATGCAACAACAGTAATTTAAAACGAAAATAAATTTGTAATATTTAATAAGTAATTTTTATTACTTAATTAATAATGTGGGAACGCTATTTTATTGCACAAGCAATGCCAATTATTACAGAATCATTTTGAAATAGGTCATTATTAATTTAAAAAAAATTTTTTTTGAAAAAAATCGCTTTTAAAGTTAAAATATATTTTTTCTTTTGGTTTCTATTCGATCTGCAATATTTGAACGATACCATTCGGTTTCAGATTTTGTTATTTAAAATAAAATAAAATTTTACATACCTTAAACTTTAAAAAAAATATCCCTATTAAATTAAATAATAAAAATAATGAATGATCATTAAAAATTCGAAATTCAGTTATTTTCGGACACATGGTTTTTCTAATTGTGTGCAAAAATGTTGTAATTCATTAACATAGTTCCAAAGATATTAAGATACACAAAATAGCTTACATTAAGTGGTCGCATTTAATGTAAACTCGTTCATTCAATATTAATTCGCTCATTTAATTTAAACTCGTTCATTTAATGTAAATTCGTTTATCGAGCGTAAGCACTGTTGTGACAAAACTATAAGGACTATGCTTTCTAGATGGCTATCTGCCTATTTTAAAGGTCAGAAATTCTGAAATATGTCAGTATCGGTACCTGTTTGGACCAACTACCATCGCCAGA